ATTTTGAGCTCTGTTCTCCGTGGCACACCTTTGACTGTGTGCCACGGAACACAGTTTAAGAAACACGGATCTACATGGTGTGCGAGTCTTTAAAGTGTTACCAGACTATTGGCTGGTTTTTAAAGTTTATCCTGTGCAGACTAACTCAGCTCCCCCTCTGAAGTTTTAAATTGGTCGGATTTCCACTTCAACCATTATTCGTTTTACTGCAGAATTCCCACACCTCGTACGTTCGCATCCGAAACTCTTTCCGGCATGAATTGGAATGATTTTGTGATTTGTCATGGTCACCGTGTCCTTTGCACTAAAATGACCGTGGAGTCAGGGACTCGATTTTCATGGTGTTAGCAAATATAAACGCTAATCATAACACTCACGACTTTTTTTTCCCAATGAAAAACAGAAATAGTTAAACTTTCCACCTGGCATATTCCGCTGTCAAAAGTAGGGCAGTCCGTGAATTTCAGTGTCCTTTGCACTAAAATGACCGTGGAATCGGGGACTCAATTTTCTTGATGTTAGCAAATAGGAACGCTAATCATAACACTCACGACTTTTTTTTTTTCCTGATGAAAAACAGAAATAATGAGTTAAACTTTCAACCCCACTATCAAAAGTAGGGCAGTCCATTAATTTCAGTGTCCTTTGCACTAAAATGACCGTGGAATCGGGGACTCGATTTTCATGGCCTTAGCAAATACGAAAACTAATCATAACACTCACGACTTTTTTTTCCCCGATGAAAAATAGAAATAATGAGTTAAACCTTTTACCCAGCATATTCCGCTGTCAAAAGTAGGGCAGTCCATGAATTTCAGTGTCCTTTGCAGTAAAATGACCGTGGAATCGGGGACTCGATTTTCATGGCCTTAGCAAATACGAAAACTAATCATAACACTCACGACTTTTTTTTCCCGATGAAAAACAGAAATAACGAGTTAAACCTTTAACCCGGCATATTCTGCTGTCAAAAGTAGGGCAGTCCGTGAATTTCAGTGTCCTTTGCAGTAAAATGACCGTGGAATCGGGGACTCGATTTTCATGGCGTTAGCAAATACGAACGCTAATCGTAACACTCACGACTTTTTTTTTCCCCGATGAAAAACAGAAAGAATGAGTTAAACTTTCCACCCGGCATATTCCGCTGTCAAAAGTAGGACAGTCTGTGAATTTCAGTGGTAGGATGGTTTTTGCGAAATTTGGTATCTGGAGGTTAACGCGGAAGCGTGACTTTATTTTGCACAAACAAATCCACCCACAACCCCTTCCAAATATCGAGTAGACGCGGCAATTTATTCCACCCCGACAGGCAGGGAGAGTTTTTCCTAATGTCCAACCTACCCCTCCCATTGCTACTTGCCCTGAAACTGGGGATATTCTCCTAACGATAACGGAGAAAGGCAGAGGTGGGGGGAAACTTTGACAGATGACCCCCACCGGTTCCAGTCTGCTACCCCTGGGCCAGGCAGCGGGGGAAGGGAATTGGGGTGAGAATGTCCCACCCACCCCAGCCCCCTGCTCTGGGGTTGTAGGTCGTGGACAGGCAGAAGCAGCAAAGAGTGACAGGAGAGGGAAAGGGGGACTCTGGGGGTGGGGGGCTGGCTCTGGGGAGCTCTGGGGTAGGGGGGAGAACAGGAGGGTTTCCCCCCCAGCCCAGGGGAGGGGGTTGATCGGATCCCACGGCCCGCCGGGGGAGAGCGGCCCCCCACCC